TGTCAGAGGAAGCTAATTATAATAATGGCTTGGGGTCAGGTAAGTGCTTCACTATTTATCTGACCCAACCACTCTTATTATACTCCTTATGTCAACACATTTTTACAGAGTGAAAATTAGCAACTAATTAATTTAATTTCAGGAGTTAATGCCGTCATAAAGGAAAAAAAGCAAGGTTTATATTGAATAGTGATGTTTCTAGAAGAAAGCATTATAAACATGGAAGTGAAGAGTCTTTAAAAGCAGCTTTGAACTGAATGATGTAAAGGTCTGATTCTGCAATCATTCATCAAGCCTCGGTTTATCAAACTGTGTTTAAGTATCTGGTCAAGTCTTGTTCAAATTGAAAGCATGTGTTTAAATGCTTTCTGCACTGGGGTCTTAAACCCTTCTCAAGCAACATTTCTGACTTTGCTGAGCCTGCTTCCCTGGGGAAATGTGTCAGGGTGAAGGCCTAATTGCCTGTATTCGCCTCTCTTCTTATGATGTTGATGTTCCTTTTTCCAGTGGCTCTCTGTCAGTTAAAAGTTTGGAAATGTAAGGATGTTAAGACATGTTACCCAGACCTCTGCAGAGGTTTTGGGTGCACAGTTCAAGCAAGCAAATGAATAAAGGGGAATTTCTGAGGTGTATTATTGCTTGTTATATTTTTCAGCTCCCCAAAGTATGCAAGCTGCTGTGTAGCATTGGTTCCTGACCTGTTTCAGCCAATGGATTCGTCCTTTAGCATAATTCACAGATACAACAGCACCTTGTGTATACAGAGATGATAATTCTTTGCATTTTTACAGTCCTTTTAATGTGAACAATTTAAGTACTTTAGGACTTACCGGGGCTGGAGAATTTCCCATCTTTTCTACTTTCTATCTTTTTTTTTTTCTGCTATTGCCTTTCCCATCTTTCCTCCCCTCTGTCCTTTTATTCTTAAGGGAGGTCAGTACTAGAGAAGCTAAGGCAACTTTGCCCATGTTCTGGATGATTTCTTTGCATTCATGCCAAGCTCTGTGAGTGGATGAAACCTTCTCTTCCCCCGAAGGCCAGACGAGAGCCCCAGTGTGTCCCAGCTGGATCCCCAATCTGAGTGACTGAAGGTCCAGGGCTCCAAAGCATGCTGTAGGCTGCAGCTGCTGAACAGTTTTATACAGTTTAAGTAGCTAGCCCCAGGAGATGCAAAAAATCTGTGGCAGAGCTTAGGAAACAACCCAGATGTCTTAGCTGTTCTTCCTCAGAGTTAGACATTAAACAGCTTTCACTGTCAATGTACAATCAATGATTGCTGGGATTTTTATGTCACCTTTTAAAATTATGGACCACTGCATGCAGGAATCTTTATTTTTAGACTTATTTTTTCTAATGATAAATTCAGGAAATATTTTAATAGTGTGTAATTATCAGAACACAGCTATCGGTCTAAAACTTTTATCCAGCCCTGTACTGATTTGGCACCGTGTGGCTAGCCTGGCTCTGTCTTCAAAGTCATCTTTTGTGTCAGATAGATAACAACTGCTGCAAGGGAAGTGTGTACAGCTACAGCTTTCACCAAGTCTTTGACAGCTCTGAGGCTGGGGACTGAGGGGGCAGTGCATAGGTCTTATGATCTTCCTCATCTTGTTGAAAAAGGTCAGAGAAGTCATCAAATTGACTGCAGAACATTCCCTAAGAGCAATGCACCTTTTGTACTGTGGAGCTGCTACTATTTTTGAAGTTCTGGTCCACGCGGAAGACAAATCTTTCTTTAGCATCAGAAATCAATGCATCAGAAATGCCCTCAGGGGACAGGAAGAGGTTTCCTCTTCAGTGCAGTATTTCAACAAAATATTCTAAATTAGAGTAATGTAAAACAGGCAAGAAAATCCATTGCTTGATTTTGTTTCTTCTTTCCAAAAGCAAGTCAAGGACAAACTAAGGCATGGAGATCCTTGACTGTAGTCAACAAATTTATTTTTTCTTATGAAGAGGTAATCATAAGAAAAAGATTGTTGTACTGGGTGCTTGTGGGTTCTTTCTACATTACAAAACTCATTAGGTTATAATGGGCTGGGAAAGATGGTGGTGTAGGGACAGGAGAGAATACCATGGACCATGTGTTTTAGCAGAGAGTTTTGAATGTGCCCCATGTCCTCTGCTTCTACCCCGTGAGCCTTGCACAAAATCTGTGCCTGTAAAATGATCAACCTGTGCAAAGTATAAAGGATTTTATAGAGTATAAAATACCCTTGTTCAAGTAGTTAGTATCTGCAAAACAGTCACCTGCCTAACAGACAAATATCCCATTATACACTTGATAGGGATAGAAAATGGCCCTTCATTTCACATACGGGAGTTACAAATGGAAAAGCTTCTAAAAAACGTACAGTCACATGTGTCCACAGAGTATTTTCTTCTGCACTCTCAGAAAATGTTTTTGAATCACAAACATTTTCCTGTTCACTTGTGCCCTATCGAAACATCGGCCCTCATCTGCTATGGCTCCAAATGTTATTATGGGTAGGTCACCTTATCAGTCAACTGTTTTTTTAATAAAATAACTTTTATTTACCCTTTTTTTCGGTTTCTTGTATTGTGAGCTTCTGGGAAGCATGGACTTTTTCTTGTCATGGTATTGGAAGACATACCAGATGCACAGTCTAGTATGAACTTTCAGGCATGACCAGAATAGAAATGAATAATAGTGCATAATTGTTAGCCATTGTTTTAGCTGTGGGAAAATGTACAGGAAAAAATCATGCTAAACTGACATGTTAAAGCACTGGAAATTGACCCAGACTAAGTTCTCAAAAATCAAGATAAGCCAAGGCTGTTGCTAGTTACTTCTTAATTAACTAAATGAAGCATATACAGCTGATAAAATCTAACTTTTTGCAAGGTAAATAAGTCCAGACTTTTATGGATGACATAAAGTGAATGTTGTCTGGAAGATATTAATTAACCAAGGGAAGCTAACTGTAGAGGCTATGGTCCAGAAAGTTGGTGGATTTAATGGCACAGAGGATTGTGTAATAAAGTGAGTGGAGCTGATAAAAGAAAAGTAACATTTCTTCAATGTGAATATGTTTTATCAAACCAGCAGCAAATTGTATGGACTTTTATTGTTTCTGGTCTACATTTGCCAAGGTCTGTCTAATGCTAGTAGGTTTACCGATTCATTTTCAGAACAGTAGAACTGGTTTACTGTTCCTCACGAGCTGAAGGATAGATAAGTAAAATGTAGTTGGATGCCTACTGTGCATGTGGGAAGGTGAAGAAAAGCATTTGTGGAACAACAAAATCCCTGGCATGTCTAATACATGTCTTTTCTCCTATTTGTGATTATATGGTTAAACAAGAAAAATGGAAACCCTTACCTTTGCAGCCGTGGTTCATTCCCACCGACAGTTCTCCTTGCAGTTTTGAAACATCTTCCTACTGTGGCATGTTGAGGAGAAGGGAAGGAGGAAGGGTGGAAGGAGGGAAGGAGGGATGGAGGGAAGGAAGGAAGGAGGGAAGGAAGGAGTTCTTGGAGATTGAAAAGGAGAAAACTGGTAATGTGGTCAAGAGCAAAGTTACATGCATACGCTCTGTTGTCACTTCAGAGCCATGTGTGCTCTTTGGTCAGACTGTGAGGGGGTTGGTGGCTTCCCCTGTACTGGCTGTCTTTTAGAAACCCCCATGGTATCCAGGAGCAATATGAGACAAGCTGTTTCTCCAGGGTATAGATGCTATAGTAATTATTTCTAGCTCTTTTTGCTTCCTTCATGGTCACAGAACTCCTGGTTCTGTGCAGAGGGTGCAACATTTTAACTTCCTTTTCTGGTTTTGTTGACTGTAAGGTAAGCCAGTAGGAGAGCCAGGACCAGAAACAACATCCCATGAATTTCATCACCACGACCTTCAGTGTCTCTAATTCTTCCCAGGCTGAGGTGCTGGTCCATGCTTCCTCATATGGACCAGGTCATGTTTCAGATCAAGAAGGGTCTGGACCCTGGAGTCTTCAGTACTTCCAGTTATCTAGTGCCTCATGTCTCATGGAAAAAAAGATAGTTTGGCATATCGTCATGTAACAACCCATTTTGTCTCCAAATACAATGAAAAAGGACTGGAAAAAGCTCAAGAAGATCAAGCAAACTCAGAATATGGGCTAATGATCACCAATAGATGTGGTGTGCTTAGTGTTTGGGATACATCTTTGTATCTTTAGATACAAAGGTTTTACAATAAATATTCCCTTAAACAGGCATATAGGTACTGAGATAGTAGAGAAAACAATGAAAATTAATTAATTAATTTTCTAATCAACTAATTTAATTAAAATTATCTTTTTAAAATCTCCCTCCCCTATTATACCTTCCCCTGTAAATGGACAGTACCTGACTGAATTTGAGGATTATGAAGAAGCTTAAAAGTACATTCTGCATTGAATGACAAAAGGTTTGTATGATTTTCTAGCTGAAATATGCAGAGCTGTGGAACGGTTAAGTGAATGTTGAAATATTTCCCCAGTTCTTACCTGGGAAGTTTTGTACCTAGGCTGTCAAACAATCATTTAAAATCATATGTTATCCTTTTGGTGGCAAAGTGGGAGCTAATTTAGCTTAAGTTTTGCATCACACAAATAGGAGTGTTATGCGTTCAAAAAAATAAAAGGAGAAAATGGTAACACTTCAGCATTTGAAAACTGTGTATGGCTGTTTGTCTTTTGCAACTCCATAGCTGTTCTACTACCTGTAATTGGGGTGCTAAGATGAATACTTGTTTTAAATGGGGTGGATAAACATTGATGACAATTTTATAATATTTTGAAAAAGTAGAGAGACTGTTTTAGTCACTATAGCAGGGCAGATTTAGGATTTGCTACTGAAGTTTTACCATGCACATGAATAACTGCTCTTTTGGTGTGATTTTGTTAGTGTTTAGGTCTGATAACCCTAATATTTACAGTTTCAGAGCCTGTCTGGGATACATTATTTTTACACTGGAACATACACAACTTCTTGAATAAATCTTGACCACAGGCATAAGAGGTGCTCTTCAGACTGTCAACAGCTAGTGTCCAGTTTAGCAGCTGTGGTTCCTGTTTCCCACTGAGTGAACATCCCAGGATGCCACAGCAGTAAGTAATGACGCCTCACCAAATCCTTTAAAGGTAGATGTTCTAGATACTGTGACATCTGAAGTTCTGCTACAGGCTACCTGAATATGGTCATATTTCCCTCCTCAATACAAATGGAAGTGAGCCTACATCAGAACTGTGGTATTGGAACTGTCATATTTAAAAGAATTTTTTGAAAAGACTCTACAAATATGACTAACTATATTTTGACATGAAGAACTAAAACCATAGAAATTTCTTATTCAGTTTTCATCAGTTATTTCTCCAAACTACTGATTTAAGAAGAAAATGTTATCCTTCTTTGCTCTCCTTAGCCTCTGAGGAATTCATATTAAATTTTACTTAATAGCTGAAGCACCAGTGCAAATGTGAATTTTGTCCCTGCATCTATTAGGATATAAATACCTGTCCTTTCTTCCTACTAGAGGTCACTCTATTTTAAAAGAGGCAATGGTAAATGGTATCCAAGGTACCATGAGTGGAAGACTCAACCTAAGTGTAGAAAAGTCTTATAGTCCTGCTTTCAATAAAGGATAATTTTCTGATATTTTTGTAGTGAAGCTGAAAATGAAAGAATTGTGCCTCTGCTGTTGGAACAGAAGCTACACTCAGAGCAGAATACAGCTCACAGACAGGTGCTGACTACACAAACAAGTCTATTTCTTCTTGCTTCAGCCTCTTCTTATCGTCTTAGCTGGAGGTAAAAAAGGAACTGTAAAATACTTGCAGAAAATTAGAAGAGCTTCCAAATTCATGTATCTCAAGGTATCTTGACCAGATAAATGGACTATCACTGTAGCCCAAATTTTGTTTGGGTGAAAGATCAAATTACAGGTCATAGGTGAGTTTTCCAATGGGATTTCTTCGTGAGCCCACTTTACGTTCTTTGAAAGGTGAGATGTTTTGGGTGACGATGTTATTTCTCCTTTAAGCAAAATAATCCTATTCTGTACTTTTAAATCTCTGTTTCTTAGTGAAATTCTTGAATGCGTATTAATTCTCTTGCTTCTCTCAGAGACGAAGGTGATCTTGTTCGTTGAACCTGAAACAATACTTCTAGTAACTGTGAGTGTCTGAGGAATATCAACTGAGATAGGTATATAAGGACAGGTATATGTCTCTTATTAGGACAGCTGACTTAGCAAAAGACGATTGGGCTTTTAGCAACAAATCAGATCATCGTGTCTTAGGCCATGACTGGAACTTCTGGCTGTTGTAACTCTGCATCCCAGTTCATGATGCAATTGGATTATTTGGGTACTGCCGTGATTTCATTGTGGTACAGAGAGGGCCTCCCCTTCAGAGATTGAAGAGCTCTTGACATTAACCACTTTATTCTAAGGCCAAGGGCTCTGTAAGCTCCGTGGGGCTGTCCTGCCAACTGGCTTTGCCTTTTTTCCCCCTAAGCACTTCTATAAAGCACAGATCATCTCCTCAGACTCCGGTGCTGACACCGTTGACTTCTTGGTGGTGTTTGTAGACACTTTCTTATTCTTTATTACAAGGCATGTAACCATTATCTCTATTGTTTTCCAAACTCCTTTAAGAGTTACTATAAGCGTTGTGTGAATTCAGCATTATTTTTTGATCCAGGACTGACTACATTTATGTCTACAATTTTATACAAGAAACTCAGGTCACTATTACATTTCACATTGACCTCCATGTTGCTTTCTGATGATCCACAATTAGTTTGACTAAGATACCTGCCCATGACTAATAAATATCATTAATCTGTCAGCCCTTAGGAGTTTTGTCTCCTTAACCGATCAATTATTTCCTTGTTAAGAAAATCTAAATGCTTTAAAATTTTTTAAAAATGTAAATAAAATAAAAACTTTTTGTCCTTTCAGATGGTGTAGCCATCAACTATTAGCAAACACATTATCCCTCAAAAACACAAGAGTTATGCTTTAATTATCAACACACATTTAAAAATAATTGGGACTGAAATGTCCTCCTTAGTTCATACCTTGAGGGATACAACTGCAGCTTGACCTCACCACGTCTTTTTCTATATTGAGATAGTTTTGATGTTTTAATAGGCACAATATTACAACTTCACACTGTGGCATAATATTTTGCCTTCAAACTCATACACATAGGCAACACAAGGTACTGTTTGTTATCTTCCACATGTAAGAACAAGTGCAATGTAAGATAAAACTGGAAGCAAAAGGCTTAGGTAGTAAAACATGTTTTCTTCCTTCTGTTTTTTTCTTGATGAAGTTACAGAAAAAATATACAAGTTGTTTGTTTGTTAGGTTTCCAAGCTTCCAATATGTACAGTAGAGAAAAAATAAATAAATCAAATTTCTGACAGGTGCAGAAAGAGAGAGCTCTGAGGCAAACTCTGGCTCCCCAGGGTATTTCAAGAATTTTCCTCTTTCCAGACCCAAAAGAAAGTTCAGTCTCTATGTCCAAGAAAATAAAACAGTTCTGGTGACTTGCCAGATATCAGGGCTCATCTTAGAGATTTTGTGTGATTCATGTAGCTGAAATTCAGATTTTTTTTTTACCATAGATAATGGATTGAAAATAACTGCCTGAAAAAATTCCAGTTCAGCCAAGCTGCTTAAATATGTGTGAGTCATGTGAATGTATGTGGGATGTGATGCAGTAATGGAGACGAGGTGAATCTGATATTCACCTGCATGAGAAATAGTCACAGCAGTACCATAATGGATGGCTTGGCCATCTCTTGCCCACCTGTACCCATACAAGAAATGCTAGGTTTGGTGATGGCAAGTTGTGTTAACATGTCCCTTGTTGGTAGTTTGTGCTGGGAAGGGATGTGCTGTTGACTTGGAGTGGTAGTAGAATCTTCACTACAGTTTGATGGAGCCCACTCAACTCCAGTTGTCTGCCCCTGTACGTGCAGCATGATTCACGGACCTTCCAGGTGCCCATCCTAATCCCATTTGCCTCAACCAATATCCTAGTAAGGCCATAATTGTGCTCACTGTGTTTTAAAACTCAGTTTTTAGGAGGCATTCCTGGTTCTATCACAAAGTCTTATAAATTAAATTGAAATCAGTCACATTTATGACTGGTTGTTAAAAAGCTGTAAGTGTTATGAATTTATGACACTGTGCTCATGTTCAGCTGTTCACTGCTTCTGCTTCTAGGTCTTTTTGTCCTATGTGGGATAAAATTTATATTTTTGGTGAGATCATTATAAATCTTTTATGTACCACAAGTGCAATTTTAAATGTTTGCAGGCATGGAGAAATGTGCCTGTGAGATATCAACTATATTTCATGGGTTATTGCTTCATAGAGTTGAAAAAAAAAGTGCTTTGCAACTAGTATACACTCACACACCTTCTTAAGTTTACATGTTTGACCTTTAAAAGCTGGTAGGCAGCATGAAACGTGCAACTTAGGAAATAAAATGCTACATGGTTCATATTGTATTTGGATGTCAGTTTGCCATGTTAATTTTCTTTCTTTAGCAAAAACTACATTCTCAGACTTGCCCTTGCCTAGTCCTTTAAGGCTTCTTGCTGATTCCAATGACAATTGGACAAGTTCCTCAGGAGTGAGTGTAGCTTATGTACACCTCTGCATAAGTCAGTGATGAAACAGGGGCCAGCAACAATGAATGCGTGGCTCATGACTTATGCAAGTCTATTGCTGAGTTCTGTAGCCTTCAAACTGGGCTTCCCTATCAGAGTTGTTAGAGATTATGTATTCAAAGGCACAGAGAAATATAGTTTTTAAAAAAAGATTTTATTTTCCTGATGGAAAGGTGGATGGGATGGAAAGATACTACTAGAACTGTGTGACCCTTTAATAGATGACAATAAGTTTTTGGTGTGGCATTAACTTAAGAGAGCACTTGGAAAAAATATACTCTAATGGAAAGCACAGTATTTTGAGAGCTGTGAAGCCTGGAGTTTCCTGGCTTTGTAGTGGGACTACCAGGACAAATAGCTTAGTTTCTCTGTGGCTTACCTAGGCATTGATTTACCACAGGAAGAGAGGCTGGAGAAGCTTTCTATCCCGGCTCTGTTTGCCCCTAATTGTCAATTACCCATGGCATACTATGCCAGGTGTGAGCGCTTTCCACTTCCTGGCCTGTGACCATTTACAACATCAAACAGAGCTGGGAAGAGTCATCCTGTAGAACACATCTCCACAGTCTTGGGGACATGTCTCTGAGACATGATTGATTGTGAGCATCTACCGAATGCATCTACATTGGCTCCATCCTGTTATTCACCTCACTTGCCCATTTTGGACAAAAAATCTGCTTAAGACTGAGACTGATCCTCACTGTATGTTACTGCTTTTGGTATCCATTGCAAACAGAAAGAGTGAAGATATATTTCCAAGGTCTTATGACCATGATGAACTGGGAATGCTAAAGTATCAACTAGCTCCAGGGAATATTTTTTCATATTTGACCAATGAATATTTGGTAATTCTCTTATTGCTTTCCTTTGTTTAACAATGTATGTAATATCTTTAGCTTTTGTGATCTTTTTACCTCAGGCTTTATGTTTTGTATTTGAGTGATTAAGAAGCACATATACCATTGTCTCTGTCCCCCGATTTGGGTAAATGAAATTTTGATGAAGAGATGTCAAGATGGCAGTGAGAATGTTACCTCCATCAACACTAGCACAAATGTTTTAATGCACGTGTGTCCTTTGAACATTTTAACAAGCACAACATAACTACTGAATATTCACAAAGCACAAAGTAAATGCATTCATGATTTCTATTTTAACAAATAGGCACAACGTTTTTAATGGAACATTCATCCAACTTCGAAGTATGCATCAAAACACATTTGGATTGTTTATGATTGATGTGGTCATCCTCTTATGGTTCCCGTGGGCTAGATAGAAATAGAAATGTAGGGCAGGAGTCTCCATTATTGTGCAGCTGCTTTTCTCTGCACTGTCAGCACAAACTC